CTGTGTATTAAAATCGTAGTACTTTGCATATACTTCATACAGTGGAATTGTACAAGTGTCAGTATTTTATAAAAGGTTCTTTGAATTACATCTTTGGTATTTATGATTTAATTTATTATTTGAATGAATTTCGTCTACTGATATATTAAAGTCTTTAGCATTACTGGCTTTTATATTTCCATATGCAAAAATAAGTTATTTTGATTTGTGAAGGGTTACTGGAAGTATATATAGCCAGTATTTTAAGTCACTGGCACCGGGTGTATGTGTACTGTCCCTAGATGCCTTCACAAGTGCTCACCAAGGAGTCAATAAGCCTTACATGACCTCACCTGATTTTCCCATGCCTTAGATATTCTGGATGTTTTCTACTATTATTAATATCTAAAATGTTATCATTTTTGGCATTATGATTATGATAATGGTATTAATCCAATACCAACTGGCATGGCATGTATGTACATGCCATACCCACTGTGAGGTTACTTGTTTAATTGTTTTTACACAGATGGCTACACTTGTACCAAGTCACCAATGAGCTAATTACGAGTAATGCCTGTCTTGTCTGTTTACCCTTATCCTTGATTTACGAAAATATTTTACCTTGTCTTATTTTGCTGTAATGTTTATAATATTCTAGTAATTATAATGTATATAATAAAAATAACACCACTGATATTCATAGTACTAGTAAAAAATATGTTTTTCCTGCCAATTCAAGGAAAGGTGAAATCAGGTAAGGTCACAAGGTCTACTAATTGACTCCTTTGTGGCTAAGCACTAGCAGAGCCATCTATGTGCAGAGACATTTCACTAAAATATAAAAAATAAGCACAGCATTTACCCCATTTCTTCTTCATTTTCCCCAGAGGCATTGGGTGAAAATGCTAACCACAATGAAAATAAAAAACTATCTTCAAAAATCAAGCAAAAGGGTAAACAGATTAGACAGGTAGGACTAGTAACTGGCTCCCTATTGACTAAGCTCGTGTGGAGCTATTTGTGTTGTACAAACTGAACTAAAAGTGGACATAGCATGTATGTACATTCCATCCTTGCATAAATGGATTAATCAGCTGGTGCTTTTATTAAATGAGAAAGAAAGATTCAGACATTTGAATGTGTATACTTAGATGCCACCAACAATTTCAAAGGTTTGGTATCCACACAGCATCCATGGCATTTGCATTTTTTTTTCTTTTATAAGTCATAAATGTGTGTAAAAACATAAAAAGGAAAATAAAGAATAAGTTTCAACCATTTACCATTGTACAGTATATAATTCTCAAATATGAATATCAACATTATTAAATGGTTTATGGCTTCCAACAAATTGTACTTGTTTTGCATGTAGTTTGAATCAAGTACATTGATATACAGGGATTACTAGTAGGTGGTAAATGGAAACCCAAAATACAACTAATGAAGCCTTGTTGGAAGGGAAAACCACATTCTACACAGGGTTTTGTTGTCGGAAATGATGCTGTTGCTTATTGGCCCTCACTCCAAGCTTCAAGTCGTATCTGCTGCGAACCTTCTGAAGATACTTCTGATCCCAGAATTTCCTAGAATAAAATGTCATTGATAATGAAACTCTGCCAGAGAATAAGGAGAGAGAAAACATTGGCAATGCTATTATCTAAAAAGTTGAGAAAATAGTTTTGTCTAAGTGATAAATGAGATATATACTTGTTACATGAGACTGAGGAGTAATCCTCTATCAACACAACTTACTTCACTGCATCATTTCCACTGGTTCCTGTCCAGCCAAGTGAGCGATAATGTGCAAGAAGGCTTCGGAAAGTAGATCCATGCTTCTTCTTTTCCACTTGCTTGCGGTAGGGATTCAAGTTTTGCCTGTACATGGAAACTGACATTAGAATATGCAACTGAATATAAACTTGTAAGACAATTACAGCTTCAGTATCAAATTCTATTTTCCTCATCTTATTTCTGTTTCAGAATGTACAAATACAAATTCATGTGTTGCATAGAAGGACAGTCTTTTGACATCCTGATTGGAGGGAGTCTCTCATTACAAGTAGACGCTTCTCAAACTTTTTTCTTTTAACCATCTTCCATATTAAAGTGGACTTTGGGAATGTGTTCTTAAAAGGAACGCATGCACTAAGCCACAGGATAATGAGTAGGGTGGCCATTTCCTTTGCATCCTGCCTCTGACTCTCACAGCCGAATCAACTGTAAAGGGCTAACTGGGGACCTTGGCATGTAATTGCCAAGAAGCACTCTTCCATGACCTATTCCACTTCCTCTTAAACAAATACAACATAAAAAGAAGCTTGAACTAACTTGTAATATCGCCTGAGAGACCTGTGACCTATTACAGCACCCGATGGTAAGACAAGTTCACTTTCATCCCCTGTAATAATATTGGCTTCCACATCATCATCTGGGGATGCAGCATCTGAAAAAGGAATCAAAATGAATTTAAATAAGTAGGAAGGATTTCTCATAATGAAAAAAATAATTATCATGCAGACATTTATATACAAATATGTAATAGATTAGACAGGTGTCATACCTGCATCAGGATATGATGTGGAATAGTCATAGAAGTCACCATATTCCAGAATTGTGTCTCCTTTCAATTCAATATAACTGTGCTTTTGGTCTTCAATGTGTTGTCTTATAGCTGTGAGAGAGGGGAGCCGTCGAGCCTTCCACTTGCAGACTAAGCATTCAAAGCCACACCCAATCTAAGAACGTAATTTTGTTAATTATTTAACCATGAAATGTGGAATTTCACAAGCATAATAAGTACCTATTTGAAATTTTAAGAGTAATCTGAAAAAGTTGCACTCTCAAAGCAGCATTTTAGGGGTGACACAATTTCAGTAAGTAGAGTACAATATTCTAACAGTCACTGGATGTAATACATATTGCTACCATTATGGTACTGCAATATACTTTGTGTCCTTAACCCAATGCCTCTGGGAGAATTTGGAGTGTGTGGTCCAACTTATTTCAGGTGTGATCTGTATATGGCAAATATTGCTTGTGGCATGCTACCATGGATGCTACAGAAAAATGATGCTTGTATTCTGCATGGAGTGGAAGGTGCTTTGAGGCCTACCATAATTAGGTCAACTCCTAAAAAGTAGTTGTTAGAAGGTGGATGAGCACAAGGAAAATTGTAACGTTTTGCAAATTTCTCCATTAGACTTCAAACAGAGATGATGAAAAAGAATAAATAAAAATAAAAAGTTTTACCATAGTGATACCCAAGAGGAGAGGGGAGTTTAAAACAAGAAGAAAAAATCAAATCAAATGCCTGAACTTCATAAACTATGAAACTACCAATTCTCACCAATGCCATATACAATGCCAAACAAAACAAAACAAAAAAAGATGTGCATTACCATTAGGACAAAGGCAGTAATATGTTTAGTATGTCTTCTATACCTTTCTAAAAAATATGTTGACTCATTATACACTGATAACATGGGTTTTCAAACCACAGAAAATATCAAAGGTAAGATGCTGACCTCTTCTCTGGTCTACCATAGCTGGAAAATTATTTCATGGGAGTGCCCAAGGCCTATAAACAGATCCTTAAGGCAGGCTGGTGGCTGAATAGTCCATGGTCAAAAAGACCATTAAGCCATACAAATACACAAAACAGGCATTAGGCACACACAAACAATTAACAACCTTCCCAACTAGGTAATCCCTTATCAGAACCCATAAAGAATAGAAGCTCCCATGAAACCACCAAAAATAAACCACTACAATCAGCCAATCAGCATGATGTCTACTTGCATGACATCATACATGCATGGTGCACCTTCGCTACATGAAGAAAATGTATATGACCCTTAGGATAACTAACTCACTAAGATCCATTGGAAGTCAGAACTTCTCCAATGGCTATGATCCTTACAAACTGATCACTCTTAACTTACAAAGCAATGGGAGAGAGTATTTTTTTAAAATAATACATTTGGGTAATACTCTCTCTTTAGAAGTGCATAAATTAAATTACATTACGCTGATCTTGAGATCAACTTGATGTAATTTCAACATCTAGCCTACTTTTAAAAATCTAACTACATTTTTTCTGTGATTGAAAAGAAAGACCAGAGTTTTATTATTATTATTATTATTATTAGTAGTAGTAGTAGTAGTAGTAGTAGTAGCAGTAGTAGTATATAAAAAAAAGAGGGAGGAGGAGGAGGAAAAGGAGGAAAGGGGAAGGTAAAGGTGGAGAAGGAGGACCTATTTTACGACCAACTCATATTCAAGTCTTATTTGATTTAAAAATAGCACATGTCCCAAGCTAAGAAGATAATGCTCATTTAGGAACACATCAGCATAAAAGATGAACCAAAAACATACCTTCCATCCAAGGTATGTCATAAGGCCAGCTACATCAGTACAATATTCCAAGTCGGGTATAAAAAACTTATGCACTTCTGTCATGTGCTGAAGCTTTTTCTCCAGACTTCCAGCATCATGATTACAGAAGAGGCACACAATCAGGGGAATTGGTTCTCTTTCTTCATCCTCCCACTCATCACTGTCCACTTCTTCAACCTGGAGATGTTGAAAAGATATGAGAAAATTGCAGCCTTACTACCCTTCTTTATAAGTAATACATTGGTTCATTGGTGTTTTCTACAGTTGCTTTAACAGTAATATGAATTATGACAAATTTTGCTAATTCTTCTTACCTCTAAATCTTCATCCTCCTCTTCTGGCTCTTCCTTTCTTTTTGCAGATAATGCAGTATTCTTCTGATTTTCTGAAACTGAAATTGTAACCCATTAAGAAATTACCTGGCCACCACACTCACTTTCATATCACAAAGTCTTAATTTCAATATAATAAAAAACAGTGTAACATGTTAGCCTATGAACAGCTTTCTTCATCTAATATAATATATTAGTACTTTTCATTACTATTCCTCTACAAGGTAAAAGGTTATCACTTGGTAATACATTTTCCAAAACTAAACAACAATGATACTCAAACAGGGTTTCACTGAATTCTTGGGTTCTAAGATGAATCATGAAATAAACATAAGAATACATAAAAAATATCTGCAAAAAAGCTGTAATAGTTTTTGTGGTAACAAAAAGAAGCCCAAGAATCACAATGATGAAAGATCTTAAATATTCCATTGCATTTTCAGTGTCTATAATAAACAGGGTTCAGCATAAGGAAGTAAAAGGGTTCAGAACCACTGCTCTATTATCTACCCTAATCTCATTGTGCAGTGTGGATTTCCTATCACCTGGGACTGCACTCACATGTATATATAAAAAAAAAAAAAATGACAATGTTATCACTGCCTGCTTTGCTGCTCATGCATTAATTCTCAATTCAACTTGAAAAGAAGAGAAGAAACCTAAACAAAGACTGGATCCAGGGACTCAAAAGAAAAGAGGCCAATATCTTTTGGAAATCGGTGTAAGAACTGCAACTGATATGACAAATACCACTATCAAACACTATCTTTGACCTTTGTCCCATCAAAAATGTCCACCACTGTTATGCTAATGTTTGTCATATTTGTAGTTACAAGTTTACAACAAATAAGCAGACTATTTTTATTTGATTAATATATGACTGTACAAAGCCAAAAAATATAACATGCATGATATTAAGTACCATACTATATTTATACAGGCTGAGTCACACTTAACAAGCATTTTCTGCTCAATGATCCTCATTATCAAACCATACCTGTAAATTTTCTTTAAGCTATAAGTAGTAAGAGTATCCACACCATCATATTAGAACTACCTCATTAAAACCATTCATATTACATTATCCTATTTTCACTCATACACAAAGGCTTTTCTAAGGATAAGGAACTGTCCTACCTTCAGCATATTTCATAGTCCTCTCCACATGTTTATTGGATTTCACATGATTGTCATAAGCCATTTGTGTGGCAAATGACTTCTTGCATGGCTTGCAGTAGGGTTTTTGACTCCCTGCATCAGCAGCAGCCTGAAGAACAAAGTCATAATTTACATTTATACATAGAAAAATGTAGGGTTTCTGAATACAATATAATGACCTGTTACTGTGCTGGTAGACATACTTTTATTCTAAATACTAAGTTATCAATTAAGTTCAAATGTGAACTTTCAAAGTGATTTCAATATAATCACAGCAGTATATAAAACTGACATGGACATATGACATGCAACAAACATTAAAATGTTTGTTCAACTAAAAGAGTAATTCTTTACAGTACAGACACACTTGCCAATGACTTAGTCCCCAACTTCATGACACAAAATTTATTCAACAATCTAAGCTGTCGTGACTGGGTATGCCCTTTGAGGGGAGGGTTGATGGGGTCTCTGCCTCTCAACATCCCTGGGAAAATTTTTTACTTCAGTATGCACTGCAAGAGAGAGCTGAAACTCAGGAGCACTGACTAGACTTGGGCAGTGGGTGGTGCTTTCTGTAATCTTTTCCTTTGTTTGTGGCTTTACCATTCATGTCTACAGATTATTTCTTGTACTGAAAACTACAACCTTTTGTCCTCTACAATAATAGCATCTTCAATTTGCTCTAGCTTAGTGTGTTCATACTATAAAGATTAATCACTAAAACACTCGGAAATATGTGCCAATATGAAAGGAAATACTGAATGAGAGAGACAGAGAAAAAAATATATATATATATAACACATACTTTAACAAATATATATATATAACACATACTTTAACAATAAGATGGCTAATTATATACTAATAACCACTCTAAGAAAATTAGTCATTATTATAAAATCTATCATCATCATATCACAACCTATCTCTTTCATCACAGTTTTCTACACGACAGTAATAAATTATATTATTAATAAATAATATTATTCGATGAATGCTTATCATTAGTCAGGTGACAATTTTGATCAATAACTCTAATACTGGTATTCATGACTGATACTTACTGTAGCAATATAAAATTTTCACACTTCCCTTTTTGAAAATAAAGTCTAAAAGTCTTTGTATATCACAAAGAACTGTGTGAATAAACTCAACATGTCACTCATCTAAACTGGCTTTAAAAATCTGGAAATTATATGATAGATCCACCAAACATCCAAATCAAGATCTCCAAGGCCCCATCTTCAGTAAAGTAAACAAGACAGTCTTGCAATATTCTGTTGCTTAACTATTTACTTACAACAGTTCTCTTGATAAGGAATACACATGCACACACACACAGACACAGACACAGACACACACACACACACACACACACACACGTGTATATACATACATACATACATATATATATATATATATTCACACACACATATATATATCATATATCTTATATATGTGTATATATGTATATATGTATACACAGACACACACACACACACACACACACACATACATACATACATACATATATATATATATATATATACATATATATATATATACACATATATATATACACATATATATATACCCACATATATATATACACACACATATATATATACACACA